TGGCAGGGCATCCTGTGTACAGTAGCAGAGTAGGGCGCTTCCTGGTCTCCCCTACAGGGTGCCAGTAGCACCTCTGCCCACTCCTGTTCCTTTTTTTTTTTTTTTTCAGTTCCAGGGATTGAACTCATGGGCACTTGACCACTGAGCCCCAACCCCATTTTGTATAAAATATACAATGGTATTTTATTTAGAGATAGTCTCACTTAGCGCTTTGCTTTTGCTGAGGCTGGCTTTGAACTTGATCCTCCTGCCTCAGCCTCCCAAGCCACTGGGATAACAGGCGTGGTGTGCCACCTTGCCCAGGCCTGTTCCAGTTCTGACAGTCAAAAATATCTCCATCAGGGCGTGGTGGCACATGCCTTAATCCCCGTGACTAGGGAGGCAAAGGCTGAGGCAGGAGGATCTCAAGTTCCAGACCAGCTTAGCAAGACCCTCAGCAAAGACCCTGTCTCTAAAAATAAGAAGGACTGAGGATGTGGTTCTGTGATGAAGTGTCCTTGGGTTTAATCCCTAGTACCAAACAAAAAAAGCACATATCTATCCAGACAGGAGGCCCCTGGTGGAGAACAGGTGGAATTAGCAGATCCCAGGAGCCTGGAGCCAGACTCGAATTGAGACCTTGCTGGTGTGAACTTGTCACATCTTAGAGCAGCCCCACAGAGGACCATTATTAATTGGATTTGACAGAGGGGGAAACTCAGGCACAGAGAAGGAAAGTCTCTGACCCCCCTCATTGGCCAGATTTTTCTCAAAAACTTTTTGTTCCTATTCATTTAGTTGTAGATGAACACACAGGATCTTTATTCATTTTTCTGTGGTGCTGGGGATGGAACCCAGGGCCTCACCCATGCAAGGAAGCACTTTCACTGAGCCCCACCCCATCCCCTCAAAAACTCTTTTTATATGCACCTACGTGTGTATCCCTTTTCTCTTCTTTTCTGGTGGGGCTTTGCTCCTGAGTGACCCCCAGCATGGACTTATGTTTTTTCAACTTTATGACGCTGGGAGAAAGAGAACACATGCAGTAGAAACCCTGTGTCACCTGCTAGCATAGCTGTGCTGACCTTGACCCTCAGTACCATAGTCAATAAATCACCTCAACTAGTCGATGCCTTTTGATTAAATAGGTGTGCGGTGGATGGTTCTGCTCAACTGCAGGCGTGGGGTTGGCGGGTAGTTCTGGCAGGATTTTGGCAGCGAGGCAGAGGATGGCGTTTGGGGGCATTCAGTGCATTGTAGCTTACGACATTTCAACCTCATATTGGGGTGTAATTCCACCAGAAGTAGAGGAACGAGCTGGGTGCAGTGGCACAGGCCTGCAACCCCAGAGGCTCAAGAAGCAGAAGCACAAGGACAAAAACAGCAAAAGCAAAAGCAAGGCCCTAAGCAACTCAGTGAGACCCTGTCTCTAAATAAAATACAGAATAGGGCTGGGGATGGGGCTCAGTGGCGGAGTGCCCCTGAGTTCAATCTCCGGTACCCTCCCCCAAAAAAAAGAAGTAGGGAAGGAGCTGGGATGGGACCCGCCGGGATGGGACACGGTGGTAGCTCGTGCTTAACATGAGTGAGGCCCTGGGTCCCTTCACAGCATAGCAAAAAACAAAACAAAACAAAAAAACAAGAGTCTGTCTCCTGTCTCACACTCTCACCTGGACACTCTTATGTAACCTGGTCATTGAAGGAAAGGCCATTTCAGTGGTGGGCAGTGTAATGGTTCTGGGCTGGGGCGAGGCCCTGTGGAGAGGGCCTCCCTGAGTGGAGAGGCCCTGGGCTCCATCCCCAGCTCCCCCAAAACCAAACAAACAAGAGAAACACCAGGAGGAGGGGCTGGCGGCAGCGCACTGGCGAGGCTTCCCGCCTGCCTCTGTCTGTGTCTGTCTGTGTCTGTCTGTGTCTGTCTGTGTCTGTCTGTGTCTGTCTGTGTCGGAGGCCCCTGAAGCTCCAGCCACAGAACTTGCTGCCGCTCTGTTGTCGCAGAGCCACAGTCACTGGATTCTGCTGTGGCTGGAGTGTTCCTATCTGAAGCGTGGCAGTGTGACTGAGGAACCAAAGTTTTAATGGTACTTAAGTTTCAACTAATTTAAATTTAAGTCACCATGTGTGGTGACCGTGTAGGACACTGTGCTTCTGGACTTCAGAACCCGGGAGAAGCTGTTGGAGTTGGGAAGATTGAGCCAAACCGTGGTTTCCCGTGTGGGAGGACCTTGGCCTCCTGGCGGGCCTCACCCCCAGTGCTTCTGGCTCGGTAGTCCATGATGGGGGCCTGAGAGTCTGTATTTCAAGCAAGTTCCCAGGTGTTAGTCAACTCTTCCGCTGTGACAAAATACCTGTGGTGGTCAACTTAAAAGACAAAAGAGGTGTTTGTCTCATAGCTTTGGTCAGTGGCTGCTCGGCACCGTTACTGCGGGCCTGTGGGGTCCAGCACATCTTGCCAGGGGCACGTGGTAGAGGGTCCTGTTCTCCTCATGGCGGCTGGAAGCCCCGCAAGAGCAGAACGGGCTGGGGCTGGGCCCTGGTGTCCTGGATTGGGGCCCTGGTGTCCCAGGCTTGGGCGTGTCCCTCGCCTGATGGCCTTGCCCCAGGCCCCGCCTCCCAGGAGCTCCGCCCCCCAGTACTGCACAGGCCCGGGACCAGCCTTTAACACAGGCCATTCCAGATTAGACCACAGTGTCCGGTGCCACCAGGTCAGCTGGCCTGGGCCACACCTGGGGAATCAGGGCAGTGGGTGCTGCCGGACCTCAGGTGGCTGGCTCAGATGTCAGTCCCATGGGCCGGACCCTCCCCCCTCTGGGGGCCTGGTCGCCTGCTCCTTCCCTTTCCAGGCAGGAGGCAGGTGGGGACGGCCGGTGCCCTGTCACCCGGCTCTCTGCGGTTGAGCGCATGGTGATGAGAACCCACAGAGCACGGTGGACACAGCTGGTCTCCTGAGGGTCCTCACCAGGCTGCCCTCAGTGAGCAGGGGTCCTCGCCTTCCCCCGCCCAGGTCACCTTCCGCAACCCCGTTATTGAGAGGATCCCGCGGCTGCGGCGGCAGAAGAAGATATTCTCCAAGCAGCAAGGTGAGGTTGGCCTGGGGCGGGGAGGCGGCCCGGAAGGTCCCAGGGAGTGACAGCCCCTGGTCTTGTCTCAGGAAAGGCCTTCCAGCGTGCCAGGCAGATGGACATCGACGTCGCCACGTGGGTGCGGCTGCTTCGGAGGCTCATTCCCAACGCCGCCGCCACGGGCACCTTCAGTCCCGGGCCTTCTCCAGGGTCCGAGGCCCGAACCACAGGGTAAGGAGGCGCCCCGGGCTCCCAGCCGCCTCTCACTGCGCAGCCGCAGCCGCTGCCGGGTCCCACACACCCTCCTCCCCTCTAGCAGTGACATCTCCGTGGAGAAGCTGAACCTCGGAGCCGACTCGGACAGCTCGCCCCAGAAGAGCCTCCAGGGGCCTCTTTCCAGCCCGTCAAGCCTGGTAGGCGTCTGTCCCCTCTCCCACCAGGCCCCAGCTGCGCTGGGCATCCTGGTCCACTATCAGAGACAGCCAGGAATTTCCCTGGGCTGGCACAGCGTGTCTCTAGGAGAACTGGAGCCTGGCTTTCTATCCTTGCGTTCAGGGGCTGGGAGTGTAGCTCAGTGGCAGAGCACTTGCAAGGCCTGGGGACCATCCCCAGTCCTAAAAAAAGGGAATGGGGAGCCCGGCTGCTTGCATTCCCCCTCATTGCTGCATGTCCTGCGCCAAGTAGCTTCGCCTCTGGGCCCTGCACAGCTCCTGTGGATGACAGAGGTCAGGATCTTGCCATGCCAGATAGGGGTCACTCACAGAAGAGTGACAGGGGAGCCTGCCAAGGTGACGGCATTGTCCTGGGTCTGGCTCTAGGTCAGAAGTTGGCAGGCACACACAGTGTGCCCAGTGTGTGCAGGGCAGGGACGCCAAGCAGCTGGCGGGGTGTGCGCAAGGCGGGTGTGGGAAAAGCCGGGACAGAGGGGTCCAGGTCAGGTGGCGCAGGTCAGGGCCAGGGGCATCCCGCCCCCCACCTGACCTCCTCTCTCCTCCGTAGAGTTCCCCCACCCAGGAAACTGTCAGCACTCCTGAGCTGCCCCCGGAAACCCAGGAGACCCCAGGCCCCGCCCTGTGCAGGTGACGCCTCTCTCCAGTCCCCACTCCCAGCCCTGCCCCCCCGTCCCTGTCCCCACCAGTGCCCTCTCTCCACAGCCCTCTGAGGAAGTCACCTCTGACCCTCGAGGACTTCAAGTTCCTGGCAGTACTTGGCCGGGGTCACTTTGGGAAGGTGAGTGCAGGGCAAGGATTTGGGGGCTGGGGGTCCTGTCCGGCTGGGTCCTGGGCTGGCCACTCAGGCTACCTGTGGTTCCAGGTGCTGCTTTCTGAATTCCGGTCCAGCGGGGAGCTGTTTGCCATCAAGGCTTTGAAGAAAGGGGACATTGTGGCCCGAGACGAGGTAGAGAGGTGAGAACCCTGCTCTGACCCTCTGGGGACCTCTGTCTTTTCTTCTGGGAAATGAGAGACAGAGCCATCCTGTTTGTGGAGCCGTAGTGAGAGTGACTCATAACAGCCACAGGAACTTATTACTCTTATATTTAAGATAATAGTGACAATTTAAAGAGCAGTTATTCTCTCAAGTAGTAAATACTGTTATAGTCCCTTTCTGCTGATGGCACACAGAGATCGAGCAATTTGTCAAAGTCACACGCCAGTAAGCAGCAGGTCCAGCTTTGAACCTAGGGCCTCAGCTCCGAAGCTGGTGCTACTGCACTGCCTCTGCTTTGGGGTCAGGGCCCCAGGTTAAAATCCCAGCTCTGCTGGATGTGCTTGGAGAACCTGAGTTCTCCCTTCAGTACTGCAGTCTCCTGATCTGTCAAAGGGGAATGATAACATTCTTGCAGGGTAAATGAGAGGATTCATCTGAAGTACTCTAAACAGAGCTTAATCCCTATAAACACTCAACAGAGGCACTGAGATTGTCCCCAGCTTTCCCAATAATAATAATCAGGAACTCAGCTTAGAAAGCTTTAAACAAACAAAAGAATTTATTGAGCTGGACCAGAAAAGTCCTGGGGTGAGTGCCTTCAGGCATGGCTGTATCCAGGTGCTCAGATGAGGTTTCTCAGTTCTGTGTTCCTGTGTGCGGGCTTGGCTTGCAGTCCCCTCCAGAGGGCAAAGATACCTCTGTACTCCAACAGCTTGAGATTCACCCAGCTTTAGCCTTCATTCCTTAATAATTCCAGTGGAAACCCTGGCAATCCAGTGGTAGAAGCAGAGTCCCTGTGGGGGCGCCTCAGCCACTGGGCACAGCCAGAGCCCCCTCCCAAACTAGTCTATCCCTCTCTGTACCCTCTGACCCCACAGGGACCTCAATCCAAGTCCCTTGATTAGGCTTGCCCATCCCTGAACCAATCCCTGGCCAAAGAGTTGGAGCACCCCAGTGGCCTGGGCCTTGTGCCCAGGCCTGCGGTTCCCCAAAGGAAGGTCATGGGGCAGTTACTGGGAAGACAGATGGGTTCTGGGTGCCTCTTTAGCAGATCAGGTTGTTGAGATTCAGAGATTGTAAGCAATTTATCCGAAGTGCACAGCTGTATCCACGGTGGACTGAGGACTCCGGGGAGAGTGGGAGTTGGGGGTTGGGGATGTCCATGACCTGTGCCCCCCACCGCCTGTCCCCTCCCAGCCTGATGTGTGAGAAGCGGATCTTGGCAGCGGTGACCAGCGCGGGACACCCGTTCCTGGTGAACCTCTTCGGCTGCTTCCAGACGCCGGAGCACGTGTGCTTCGTGATGGAGTACTCCGCGGGCGGCGACCTCATGCTGCACATCCACAGCGACGTGTTCTCCGAGCCCCGAGCCGTGTGAGCCACTGCCCAGGCTCTCAGCCCGGGTGCCACCCTCCACCCCTGGGCCCTGCCTCCCCGGCCTCTGGGAGCTCTTGGGGGCTGGGGGCCCAAGGGTGCGGGTTCCAGGCTCCCAGGACCCGCCCACTCTCTCCGCAGCTTCTACTCGGCCTGCGTGGTTCTGGGGCTGCAGTTCCTCCACGAGCACAAGATCGTCTACAGGTGTGTGCTGCGGGGGCACCTCGGCCCTGGCACAGCCAGAGCCCCCCCACACCAGCCTGTCCCTCTCTGTACCTCTGACCCCACAGGGACCTCAAGTTGGACAATTTGCTCCTGGACACTGAGGGCTACGTCAAGATCGCAGACTTTGGCCTCTGCAAAGAGGGTGAGGAGCGGAGCCTGGGGTCGGACAGGGAGGGGCGGCCGGCTGTGTGGACCACGGTGGCGGTGCTGGGCCACCCGCTGAGCTCGCCTGGCCCTGCTGCTCCAGGCATGGGCTATGGGGACCGGACCAGCACCTTCTGCGGAACCCCGGAGTTCCTGGCGCCCGAGGTGCTGACAGACACGTCCTACACCCGGGCCGTGGACTGGTGGGGGCTGGGCGTGCTGCTCTACGAGATGCTGGTCGGTGAGGTGAGGCCCCAGGGCGCCCCCACGGGGCCTGGAGTGTGCCTGTGCCCAGGGCTAGGACGCAACTCTGCCTCCGCCCCAGCTGGGTGAGGAGGACAGGTGGCTTTGCCCCTGGACCTCAGTGCCCAATCTGTGAAATGGGATACTCGCCCCTCTTCAAGCCAGTCCCTGTGGTTCGGGTGGAACTGGGTGTGGTATCCCGGAGAGGGGCCTCGTTCACCCCACCCCTGTCCCCAGTCGCCATTCCCAGGGGATGATGAGGAGGAGGTGTTTGACAGCATCGTCAACGATGAGGTCCGCTACCCGCGCTTCCTGTCTGCGGAGGCCATCGGCATCATGCGGAGGGTGAGGACTCCCAGGCAGGGACGTCCCAGACAGGGGCTCTGGGTCAGGGGCCCTGGGTCAGGGGCTCTGGGTCAGGGCCTCGGTGGGAGACAGACCTGACGCAGCTTTGCACCTGCAGCTGCTGCGGAGGAATCCAGAGCGGAGGTTGGGGTCCAGTGAGCGAGATGCAGAGGACGTGAAGAAGCAGCCATTCTTCAGGGTGAGACCCCAGGAGCCAGTCGCCCTTCCCACCCCGGGGGCCCGTAGCCACGGGCTGTGTCCTCCCTTCCCCTCCCACACGCCCCGTGGAGGCCCAGTCACTCCTTCTGGCCTGGTGGGCCGTGTCCCGGGTGAGCCAGTTCCCCCTGCCCCAGCCTCACCCCTCTTCTTCCACCTTGTGCCGACCCCACAAACCCAGGACCGGCCTCTCAGCCACGCCTGCCCCGAGCCTCCCATCCTGACCTCCCTCTCCTGCCTTCCCAGACACTGGGCTGGGAAGCCCTGCTGGCCCGGCGCCTGCCCCCACCCTTCGTGCCCACGCTGTCGGGGCGCACGGATGTCAGCAACTTCGACGAGGAGTTCACCGGCGAGGCCCCCACGCTGAGCCCACCCCGCGACGCGCGGCCCCTCACTGCCGCTGAGCAGGCAGCCTTCCAGGACTTCGACTTCGTGGCCAGCGGCTGCTAGCCCATCCCCGCCCCTGCCCCGAGCTCTTAGTTTTTAAAAAGGCCTCCGGGGTCTGCCCCAGCCCTGCATCCTGGCCCTTCTTGTGCGCCGAGAGGGGGTTGGGGGATGGACATGCTTGGAGGTAGGGCCAGGTGATGGGGCAGATCGGTGGGGGTTCATTTGAAGAGGGTCGGGGGAGGGTGGGACTCAGGGCTGTTGTGGTGGAAGGAGTGGTGAGCTGCGATGGGAGGGGGGTCAGGGTCTGTTGGAGGCTTTGGGAGTTCGAGGCCATGATGGTGCATGGCTTGGGCTGTTTGGGAGGAGCTCAGGATCTAATGAACAGAATCTGTCTTGGCGGCCGCAGTGACTGAAAGTGTCCCCCAAACACTCTTGCTCTAGTCACTGCGGAGCTGGGGCCCTGGCGTTGAGCGCATGCTCCTGTGGCTTTGGCTCTGGATTCCCAGCTGGACAACTGAGCGTCGGGTGTCTGCGCCCTCGCGTGGCAAGCCTCGGAACTGCACCGGTCTCGAGGCGCACACGGATCCTCTGCCGCCCCCACGCGGCCCCAGTGTGTGCTGCAGCCCCGACGGGACAAAACTCTGGTTCCTCAAAGGCGCTGCGCTGAGCACTTTGGATGGCTTAGCCTTCGGGCGCACTCAGAAGTGGCTGAGACCACTCTGCCGGGAACTGCGCAGAGAGCTGGCCTCCCAGGCGCTCCGGGTTAGGCCCAACTCCGCGGGGCCGCCCTTGGCGCCAGCCCTTGAAGGCAGAAGGCGAAGCACTTGGCGCAGCACGGCCTGGCGCAGCAGGATGTAGACCCAGGGGTCCAGGATCTGGTTCCAGGAAGCAAGGCGCACGGCCAGAAATAGCGGCCGCTGCAGCGAGCTGGAGTTCCAGCCCCCGATGGCCAGCATCACCAACACCTGCGGGGAAAGCTGGTGTGAGCTGTGCGATGGGTGGCGGGAGGGTGAGGCTGGGGTGGGTGGGGCATGGCTGGAAGGAGGTTGGGGGAGGGGCAGAGTGTCATGGGGACCTTAAATGGTTATCTATGTGGGAAAGAGCTGTGGAAGGAGGGGTGCAGAAGCAAAGGCCTCCAGAAGTGGGGGCGTCGGCCAGAAGGGATACAAGGGCCAAGTCTCCCCAAGCACACAGGAGAAAGGGAAGCCACGAAAGAGGGAGGAGGCGGCTAGGGGAGAGGGGCTTGGGGGCTGGTGTAGGTCGGGGCGGCTCACACAGACCCCTGGAAGGACCAAGAGTACGGGGCTGGGAGAACGGACGCCAACGAGAAGGCAAAGGGTCGCCTTCCTGGCAGGTGGGGTCTTAAAGGGGTGGAGCCTTGGCTGGGTGAGGGTCTATAGGGATAGAGAAGAGTGGGCGGGGCCGGGGAAGGCATGTGACTTGAGGGGCTCTTGTGCCCCTCACCAGCAGCGGGCTCCAGCAGATGCACGACACCATCATGATGCCCACGAGCTGGCCCACCATCTCCACGTCGTGGGCGCGGGTTCTGCGTGCTGAGCCTCCGCCCCGGGAACTGCGGAGGGCTGGGGAGGCTGAAGCGATGGATGAGGCAGATGAGGCGGAGGCCGAGCGGAGGCCTCGTGACCCCCAGCGTCGGCTGCTATCTGGGCGGGAGGCCTGGGGAAAACGTCCGGAGTGGCGGCGCCAGCGGGCGCGCAGCAGGGCCAGGCCGCTGAGCGTGTTGCACACTAGCGCAGCGAGTAGCGCAGCCAGGCCGAGGCCTGCGAAGAGGCCGGCAAGCAGCGCCTGGCGCCAGCCGCCGGGTGGCCCGAGGCCAATAAAACACCAGGTACCAGGGTACTGAAGCTCATAGCGACCCACGCGTGCTAGCGGGAGCAGCGCCACCGCCAAGGCCACAGCGGCCAATGCGGCCAGCGCAAAGCGCGCGCGGGCCACCGAGACGCGCGCGGCATGGAGCAGAGGCCAGGTGACACCCACACAGCGCTCCACTGCCATGCCGCAGCCCAGCAGGAGCGGGCACAGGCCGAAGAAGACCATGCAACCACCCAGGAAGTGGCAGGCCCCACCGGCCGGTGCGCGCCCCGCAGCATACAGGCGCAGCACTAGTGCGCCCGGGATCACGTGGCCCGCCAGGTCGATGGCCAGCAGACTAGCGACGAACAACAGGAAGGTGGCGGCTGAGCGGCGGCGCCGCAGGCGGCCTGCGGCCTGAGCCAGCAGCGCCAGTGCCAGCACGTTGGACACTGCACCCAGCGTCATGGAGAAGATGGGCAGCGCTGGTGATCCGCCCGTACCACCCAAGGGCGGCACCGCCGACACGTTGGGGATCCCGGGCGCCGAGCACGTGGTAGCCTCGCCGGCCAGGCTCTGGTTAAGGGGCCCGCAAAGACTCATGTCAGGCGCCAGGAGGGCTGGGTAGAGGAGATGAAGGCAAGTGAGGCTGGAGGGACACCGAGGGAGACCGCGGATTGACTGTCCCATCTCACCAGAACCCATCTGACCCCAAGGCCCTTTTGCCTGTGGCAACTCCAGATGACCCTAGCTGTTCTGATGCCCCCGCCCCTCACTAGCCCATCTCTTGCTCCTCCTTCCACTCTGCCGCCTCCTTCCCATATGCCCACCACTCTAAGGCTGCCCTGGACCAGCCCCCCGGGTCTCTGCCCCACTTCTGCACCCCAGAGATCCACCTCTGACCCCCATTTCCCATTTTTACAGCACAGCAAACTCCTGGTCCAGGACCCCATCTGGGACACCTATTTCTGACCCCAGGGACAGGCTCCTCCAAGGTGCCCGCACTGACCTTCACCATGTCACCTTCACTTCAGTCCCATCCTTGATGTCCCCAGCTCCAACTTCACTATCACAGACATCCCCGTCCCCATGGACCCATCTCTGACCCCCATGGCACTGTCTCTGTCCCCATAACCCTCCCCCCACAGCCCCATCTCTTGTCTGTGGACCATCTCTGTGTCTCACAGCCTGGTCCCATTTTTTGCTTTGATGGCACTGTATCTTTATAGTCATGTCTTTGTCCCCACAGTCCCATCTCTGGCTTCTTTGGCACTCTCCCAGAACCTCGTCTCTGGGCCCTGTGGTCATATCTGTGCCCATGGCCAACTCGGTCCTCCACGGTGGTCTCTGGGCTCCACTGCTGTCTCACCGGAGCACCATCCCTGACCACCACCTCACCTGGAGGCCCACGATCCCACACTGCCCACGACCCCTCCCTGTCCCAGAGACCTCAGGGAGACCCACATCCTGCCTCCCTCTCCCCCTCCCACTCCACCACACCCTGGTGGTGGGGGGTAAAAGGCCGGATTTCACCCTGGGCCAGAGGGAAAGGTGGATGGACAGAGAGTAAGACCCAAGGACAGACACACAGGGACTGAGATCCAGGGAACACAGCAGTATCAACCAAAATAGCCAAGGTCCCATCCTCATCCCCAAACCCAACCCTGAACCCAGCCTTCTTACCCAGCGCTGGGACACTGGGTCCCCATGGCCCACCGCTCAGGCCCGGCTGCCCACGCCCGCTGCGCCTGGCTCTCTGGGCGGCCGCTCCCTCCCTCCCTCTTCCTGGGGCGGCTCCTCGCCTCCACCCGCAGCCCTGCTGGCCTCCAGGGACCGCTCCACCCCTTGTACGCCTGCTGGGGGCCTGGAGTGGCAGAGACCCCCAGTCTGTCCTCCTGGCAATGGGTGGAGACCACTGGGGGCCCCAGCTCCTCCTCTATGAGGAGGCAGGCTCCCGAGAGTCGGCCTGGTCCCCTGTGACCCCCTCCTCCCAGTGGGGCGGGAGCAGCCCCTTTCCCCCCGGGCTCGGGCCTCTTGCCTGCCTCATTAATAAAGCGGATAAAATCTAAACACTGGAAAATATGAGCGTCGCCCAGGGCAAACTGGGCGGGCTGCAGGGGTGGTGCTGTCTCCACCAGGTTTGAGGGTTGGGGGGCTGATCTAACATGTGGTGGGGGGCAGCAACTATTCCCTGACCTGCCAGAACCTTTGTGGGCATCAAGATGGGTGGTTGTGGTCAGTGCCTTGGACGGACTGGCTTGGGTCAGGCCCAGCCTGGTCAGGGGACCCGCCCACTATTTACACAGGGGCTTAAGCCCAGGCCAGGGCGGCGGGGAGTCACACCCTCGGAGACAGGGAGGAGGCTGAGGGCCCAGGGGAGCCAGGAAGCCTGGAGATGAGGCCAGCCTCTGCACCCTGCTTTAGGGTGAGTTGAGCACATGTGGGACCCCCAAGGCACGAAGACGCACCCTGGACAGACTGCGGCCTCACCTCGTGCCCTGAGATGGGCACCCCTGGGGGCCCACCACACAGCCTCACCCTGAGACCCAGCCCCCCTGCAGCACCCTCCTGGAGGACTGAGGGGAAGGGAGGGAGGGGCAGGACCCCGGCCAGAGCTGGAGAGAGGGGAGAGGACTGGAGGGGAGCTGCGTCAGAGGTCCCTGCGGTTATGTATGGGGGCGTTGAGATGCCGCAGGAAAGTCTGAGCCCCTGTGACACCAGCCACTTCCCTTGACACCTCAAAACACAGCCCCCTGAAATGACCTTTCCAACACACCCCTTAGCGTCGAGGACCTGAGACTCTGCGAGAGTCCCTGTCAGGCCAGGCCATGGGAAGACACTCCCTAGCAATACGAGGACCCACAGGCACATGCCAAGACGCAAGGAGGGGCACCCCTGGAAACAGTGAGGCCACCCCCAGCTCCTACTCCAACAGCCCGGCCAGACACGCCCACCCATACCGTGCACCTGCAGTCCTGCTCAACATGGTCACCAGCCATCAACACGGACAGAACCCAAGACCAGCCACACCCCTCCCCCTGGAGCTGTCCCCTGGCACTGCCACACCAAGAGTCCTCAAATGCCCGGGGACATCTTAAGGCCGTGCCTCTGCCTGCCCCGTGACTCCTTCCCCACCCCCTTCGCACCTCCGCTCACCCCCAAACATTCCTGCGGAGACCTCTGGCCCCGCTCCCCTCCTTCAACCCTCTCCCTTCTCTCCAGGTCTGGCCAGGGTCCCGCCCTCCCCTTCCTTGATCCCCTCAATCCTCTGGGATGAAGTGGGTTGTCAAAACAAGCCACGGGTTTATGTCCGTGGGAGGGGTCACGTGCCATGGGCCTGCGGACCCTGCGCGTCCAGGCCCAACACTGGCTTGGGAGATGCGGGCGGGGGCCAGGAGCTGAGCCCCTAGTAGGCCAGGAATCTCCGCACTGCCTGGAAGCCTGGTGGCTGGAGGCCAGGAGCCTCGTCAGGGCAGTGGGAGGGGGCGGCGGCCCGGCCAGCTCCTAATTCAATTTGGAGCCCGGGGAAGATAGATTTCAGCTGCTGTGCTCTTCCCTAACAGGCCCACCTCCCCCCCACCCGAGGCCACCAGGTCCAATAGCAGATAGATTCTTTATGTTCCAGACGCAAATTCAGATACAAAGTCCCTCCCTCCCGCTGTGGTTTGGGGCCTGGACGTGAGGGTGTGGGGAGGTGGGGGTTCACAGCAGACTCTTCAAATGCGGAGGTAACAGAATCCAGGTTGAGGGGCTCCTCTCAGAAGGGAGGGTATTATTGCATTTGCTGGCAGTAAGGGGTGCCCCCCTTCTGCATTCCCTGCAGCAGGAACCTGGAGAGGTCACAGCCCCCAGAGAGGACCTGAGGCCCCAGAGACCCTGGGACCAGTCTGGCAGCCATGGTGGGGACTGCTGGGGGCAGGGGCAGCCGCCCAATTGGGCCATCCCTCCTACGCACCTGGCCCGGCTGAGGTAGATGGGGAACCGGACAGGGAGGCTGGGGACCCCAGCCGGGCTGGGAAGCAGGGAGAGTGGTGGTACCGATTGGCTTGGGGCCGGGGCAGGCCCCACCTCTGCTCCGCATTGTCCTTGGGTTGCTGAGCTACTGCCCCAGGCTGGGAACTCGGGCCCAGGCCCTGGTGTCCTTCTGGGGATCCCTCCAGGCTGGGCCCAGGTGATCACATGAGGTCCAGTGGAGTCCTAGTAGCGGCCAACCTTAGCGTCCCCAATGGCACCCCACACGTCAAAGACGAACTCATCCGGGAAGGCAAAGTCACCAAGCCGTTCATCCAGGGCCTCTGCCAGCTCGTCTGGGTTCCTTTTGTCCTTCCCCAGCTCAACCATGGTGGCAGCTGTGTGGGGGAGGAGATGAGGTGGAGGCACAGATGGTTCCAGAAGCCCCCTCCCCAAGACCCTCCCAGGCCGGGACCCTCCCGACCCAGCCGCTTACCCAGCTCCGTGTCTCTGATTCCCATGTAGCTCTCCAGCAAGTCATCCACCTTTTCAATGGCCTTCTCCTCGAAGGCGGAGGGCTGGGGGGAGCAGGGACAGGGACGTCATCATAACAGGAACTGTCACGGTACTTATTTAGTGCCTTTATTAAGTGCCCTTTTCAGGGCTTCACATATCTTTTCACCCATGACATTTGCTATTATGACTCCCATTTCACAGTGGGGAAACCGAGGCCCACTTGTGTGGGTTCCCGGAGTTCAGGGGGGGCAGGAGCGGATGTGAATCCAGGCAGGCTGCCCAGAGTCCCCTCACCAACCCGACATGAAGGGCAGGGGCTGGAGCCGGGTAGCTCACTCACCAGATCCTCCACTGTGGCAGGGCCCCGGGATCGGAGCCGGAGGGTGCCTCGACCTGTGCCCAGCTGTGGGCCGGAGCCGGGGCGGCCCCCCCCTGAACGCTGGCTGATCATGTCTGTGGGAGGCAGGGAGGAGGAGAGGGGGCGGAGGGGAGATGGAGTTCAGCAGGCCCTGGCCAGAGACCAGCCTTCGGGCCTCAGCGAACCCCCTCCCCACCTTCTCCAAGCTTCTCCAGGACCCCGAGGTCGGGGGCCAGAGCCCAGGCCTGGAGAAAGCGAGGAGACCAGAGGGGGCCACTGCTCCTCCCCGAGGAATAGAGAGGGGATGGGAACTGGCCTCTGAGTACTGTCCCCACGGCCTGGGGGTGGGGGCCATAGCTGCCGGCCGGTGCTGCCGTCTGCGCAGGGAAAGGCTTCAGAGTCCTCCCCCCGCCCCAGGGGCCTGGGGCCCATTCCTGGGAGTTAGTGAAGCCAGATGGAGAAGTGGGGGTGCGGGCACAGGGCAGCCAAGCCTGGCTTCTCAGGGCTGGGGGCGCTTGGCTGGGCTAATGGTTCCTGGAAGCGGGGTGTGGGGGCAACTTCCTCCTACCCCTCACCCCCACCCCCGCCCCTGCTCCCAGGCAGGGCGGGGAGCCAGCGCGCGCTCCTGGGGCGGGGCGGAGCTTCCCGCCTTCCCCTGCAGCCAGCCAGGCACGGCCGCCATCTGCTGGTGGCTCCAGGCACTGCAGGCGGAGGGGGCCGAGAGCAGGGTCAGGGCGGGCGGGGGGGGGGGGGCAGGAGGCAGCCCCTCACCAAAGGCCTTGCGAGGCTCCGTGAGCTTCAGGGTGAAGGTGCGGCCTCGGGGGAGCTCCTTGAGTAGCCGGGCCACCTCGTAGTGCCGGCAGCCCAGCAGGCTCTGCCCATTAATGGCCTCGATCATGTCGCCCACACTGATGAGCTGCATGTGGTCGATGACGCTGCCCTCCTTGATGCGCTGGGAAGGAGAGGGGTCATCAGCCCTGGCGGTTCTACCTGGGGCCCATGGCCTGCCCTGGGCCCAGGACTTGGTGCCCCGACCACCCAGGCACCTTGATGAAGGCATAGCCAGCGCCGTTGTCTGTGATGGTGAGCCCCAGAGCGTCCTCCGACTTGAACACTTCCACCTCCTTGCGCTGCCCCTTGACGTGAGCAAAGATGAAGTCCTCCAGCCCGATCTGGCCCCCCAGGAGCTTGTCCATGTCCACCTTGTGGGTGTTGAGGGTGCAGAACATCACCTGCAGGGTGGGAGATGCTCGTCCCTGGCTTCCCTCCCCGGGCCCCTTTGCTAACACCTGGGGGGGGGGGAGGGCGGGGGCTGGCAAAGGGCTAGGGGTCTCCACCCCAGGGCCTGGGCGCCCTCTGAGCTCTAGGACATCTGTCCTAACAAAGACTCAGTGAGTGCCTGGGGAGTGAATCAAGGGGCAGACCCCCTCCTCCCTGCCTGGGGCCACTTACTGCCCAGCCCACCTGTCTCCTTGCCTGCCTCTCTTCTGCCCCCACAGCCCCGGGGGCACAGACCTGGAAAGGCCTGACGGGAGTGTGGCTTCCACCAGTGACCCCAGCTCCCCACCATCGAGGGGGACACCACCTCTGCACCCACAGCGGTGGCACCTGAGCCCCGGCTCACCGCTGGGGACCCTGGCGCCCTGCCCGGCCCTCCACAGGTACCTCGGCGGCTGGCAGCCGGAAGGCCTCCGCGATCTTGCCGTATAGCTCTTTGACGTTGGTGAAGCCCTCGATGCGGCCCGTGGGGCTGCCGTGGGCCAGCTGGGTGTGGAACACGAGGCGGGGCCGCAGGGCCGGGGGTGGGGGGGGCAAGCCCATTTGGGGCCCCCCTGCCCCACCTCCGCCCAGGGGCCCCGGCTCCCCCACGCCCAGCCCGCCACGGCCGGGCTCAGCCTCCTCATTTTCCACCAGGGGTGGTGCCTTTTTCCGCCGCCCCAGTCCCAGCGGCATGAGCAGGGAGAAGTGGGGGTACACCCAGGAGATCTGCAGACGGGAGGCAGGGCTCAGGGGCCGGCAGGACTCGGGTGACCCCCCCACGAGTACCACCCGTACACCGACAAGTGACGATGGTGTGCACTTGCCCCTCAGTATCGTGGGGACTGGTTCCAGGACCCCTCCATGACATCCAGCCCCTTGGATGCTCAAGTCCGGGATATAAAATGGAGTTTATTTGCACAGGCCCATCCTTCCATATCTTATTTTTAACTATTTATTTTTATATTTATGGTGCTGGGGATGGGACACAGGGCCCTGTGCCTGCCAGGTGCCTGCTCTACTGCTGAGCGACACCCCAGCCTCTCCCCAGCCTCTCCTGAGACTTTCAATCAACTGTAGATGACTTAAAATACCTTACAAGAAACCAATGCTATAAAAATCATTGTTACAGCTGGGTGTGGTGACACACGCCTGTAATTCCAGCAGTTTAGGAGGCTGAAGCAGAAGGATTGAAAGTTCAAGGCCAGCCTCAGCAATTTAGTGAGGCCCTAAGCAACTTAAGGAGAGGAAATTAAAAAAGGTGAGGCTGTGGCTCAGTGGTCAAGCACTCCTGGGTTCAATCTCTGGTTCCAAAAAAAAGTTGTTACATTATATATACATATGTTTTTGGTACCAGGACTTGAACTAAGGGGCACTCCACCACTGAGCCAATCCCCAGCCCTATTTTGTGTTTTATTTAGACACAGGGTCTCACTGAGTTGCTTAGTGCCTTGCTAAATTGCTGAGGCTGGCCTTGAACTCCTGCCTCAGCCTCCAGAGCCACTGGGATGACAGGTGTGTGACACGGCACCTGGCAGTTTGTTGCATTATATTATTTAGGGAATAAGTTAGAGTCTGTGTCCAGTTGTTCAGTATAGACGCCAACTTTTTCCCCAGGTATTGCATCCACTATTGGTGGAATCGGTGGACGTAGAACCCACAGACACGGCCGAGCGACTCTTCAGAACACAGATGAGTCTGGGTCGGAATTCTCGACTTGGTGTTGAACTGTACAGAAGTAACCCCAGCTAGTATCTACCACGACTCTGTGCAACTGCCTGCGACCTCATCCTCACCCCACACTACAACGAAGAGACCACATCATGTGATAATCACGTCCATTTAACAGATGAGGAGAACGGAGGCTGGAAACGAGGCCTTCCTTCATCTTCCTATCAGTCACAGTCATCAATGAGGTGTGCAAAAAGTTGGGGTCTCCCCCATCAAAGCACACAGGCAGATGGCACTTACTGATCCTCCTGGGATGGGACAGGCACAGGACTGCCTCTGGCCAATGAGTTATAAGAGGAAGCAATATGTGACATTCTGAGCTGGAGCATTTAATTCATGGGGTCATCAGCCTCGGGCAGGGTGATCGGCCACATGTGATATGGTGGCAACTCTGTGAGCCAGGCTCTGGGAGACTACAATAAATACAACCTCTTGCTGAGCTCCAGTGGATGCACAGCAAGAACAAAACCTAAACCTTGGTTGGTCCAACCACTAATATTTGGGGGATGTTTGTTATGGCAGCAAAACCTGTCCCGATGGACTTATGGTCATGTGATGCATGACATTTCAGTGGACAAAGAAACACATATACAATAGTGGTCCCTCAAGATTAGATCACCCAGGGGCATCATAGTCTGTGTAAGTGAAACCGATGTTTGCCCAATGACAGAATTGCCTAATGATGTGTGTCTCAGGAAGTATCCTCACTGTTAAGTGGATATGACTATCTTCTTCTTTATTCTTCCTGTTTCTTTATTTCTCTCTTTCTCCCTCCCTTTAAGGAAACATTTGGAGGGGGTACTTAGTACATTCCACTTATCATTTTAATAAGACCAGGGCAGGAACACCAGGGCAGTTCTACAGGTTGTCTATTGGGCAAAAGTACTAAACCAAGGTATCAGGCAGGACTGAGTTTCGGTCTGCCTTCTGTCTGCCAAACTACATACCTGGTGTGGCGGTGTCTGCCAGGAGAAAGGCGGGTCTTTTTCCCATTCACATTCGGGAGCTACTTAAGCTAGCTGGGGCTCTGATCATACTCCTCAGAAAACACGTCTAGAGCCGGCCAGTGTGGGAACACCTACTGTCAGTTCTAATATGCTAATTGCACAATGACAGACTTGCCTAATGAGGAGAGTCTCAGGAAGTATCCTCACTGTTACGTGGACATGACTGTATGCCGGGCATGGACATGTCTGTAATCCCAGTGACACGGGAGACTGAGGCACGAGGATCGGGTCGCAAATTTGAGTCCAAATCTCAGCAACTTAGTGACGCTAAGTGGCCCTAATAGTTCTAGGAAGACAATAACTCAAGACTGATTCTGAGCACAAGGTCGAGGAGGGCCTCTGAGCAAGTGAAGGTGAACGTGAGGGACAGGAGGAAGCCCCCTGCGAAGATCTGTGGCAAGAATGTTCAGGAACTGGTGCAAAGGCCCAGAGGTGGGGACGTGCTTGGCCTGTGTGGGGAATGGGGAGGAGGCCTGTGTGGGTCAGCGTAGGGGAGGGGAGGGCAGAGAGGTGACAGGGCACACAACACACAGGGCCTCTGGATCTCAGGAGATGGGAGGGGTCTGAGCCACAGAGTAAGTGGGAGAAGGTGAGAGGAGAAGAGGTGACCCCGTGCAGCCCCCGCCTGGTCATTTGGGGCAGGGCTCAGGTTTCACTTTTTTGTTTGTTTTGTGGTTCTGGGGACTGAACCCAGGGGCGCTCTACCACTGAGCTGCATCCCAGCCCTTTCTATTTTAGTTTTGACATTTTTTTAAATTAATTTTTTTATTTATATTTGACAGTGGGATGCATTACAATTCTTATTACGCACACAGAGCACCACTTTTCATTTTTCTGGTTGTATACAAGTATATTCACACCAATTCGTGTCTTCATACATGGACTCTGGATAGTAATGTCCAACACATTCCACCATCATTTCTAATCCCATATCTAGTTTCTAACTTTTTAAGATTTTCTTAATTGTGGATAAACACGATGCCTTTATTTTATTGACTTATTTTGATGTGGTGCTGAGGATCGAACCGAGTGCCTCACATGTAGGAGGCAAGCGCTCTACTGCTGAGCTTCAGCCCCAGCCCTTTTAATTTTGATTTTGAGACAGGATCTAGCTAAATTGCCCAGGCTGACCTTGAACTTGCAATCCTCCTGCCTCAGCCTCCCAGGTCACCGGGATTACAGGCCAGTGCCACCGCATGCAGCTAGATTTTACTTTTAAGTCCCATGTCCAAAGTCGCAGAGCCAAGAGGCACCTGCAGTCTGACTCCCAAACCCAAGTTCACGACCGTGAATCTGTCCCCCGAGCAGCTCCACCTCCCTGGGCCGCGGCTGCTGATCCTCAAGGGGAACGTCCTACCCACCTCATGGGTCGGTGCCCGTCTGCTGCCCTGGGAGGGACTCTCGGGAGCCTGGCTGGTGCCACTCCCTGTCCACCCTTGCTCAGGCGCTCCCCAGCCCCTGGCCGCACCCTCACTCACCCACACCACAGGCTGCCTCCTGGGGCCTCTGGTCTGCCCTCGCCCGGCAGAGCCTTGTCAAGACAGCAGCCAAATGACCTGTGAAACAGATGTCACCTCACACCCATCCTCTGCCACCCTTCCCAGGCCTCCGATCTCACGTCCCGTGGCCCACAGACCTGTCACCCCCTCCCTCCCTCCGACACAGTCCAGCCTTGGCCCTCCACTGGCCGCTCCCCGGCCCCTTGCTGGCAGTTTGCCTGGCACATCTCCCTCAGCCTCCCCATGGGTCTGTTTGCACCCCCCTGAGGACCAGGGCGCACACACCTTCCCAGACACTTCCTGGGCCTCGGGACTGGCCTTGGTGAACTGCCTGCTTATGCCTTGGCCCCCTCCCCTTTAATGCACGGTCTGTTTAAACTGTGTGGCCTAGTTCTGTTCTTATTGATTTGGGGGAACTCTTTTTTTATTATTTATTGTTTAGTTGTAGTTTGACACGACACCTTTATTTCACTTATTTTTATGTGGTGCTGAGGATTGAACCCAGGGCCTTGCCCGTGCGAGGCGAGCGCTCTACCCCTGAGCCCCAGCCCCAGCCCGGGGGGAACTCTTTATAGACTCTGGATACCAGTCTTTTATTCTCCCCTCATTTCTCGTCCACAACAGCCATCACAGAGTCCAGCACACAGTAGGCACTCACTAAATATTTGACCAAAAAAAAAAATCTCAATGAATAAAACAGTACTGCGCCCTCATGTTATTTCCGAAAACTTAATGATGAGAAAGAAAGGAAGGAAAAAGGAAAGGAATGGAGAAAAAAGTAAAAAAAACCACCCTTCACCAATTGTCATCATCACTACCCCGATCCATCTGCTGGAAGGTAGGATGCTGAGAACATGTGTCTGGCACCTGGCTTCCCCTCTCACTAGCTGTGTGATTTGGGGCAAGTAGCTTAACCTCTCTGAGCTATAAGGAAACTATGCATGTGCTTGGAACAGTTCTTGGCACATAATAAAGGTCTATAAATATTGATGATTATTAAACAATTTCCATCAATACCGTCCTTCAGTCAGTCACCAAGACCAATCTCCAGGATCCCCACTTCCCAAGTGTCACACACCCTTCCCAACCTCCTGACTCTTTCTGACCACACCACAGCCCTGGGGTCGGCCAGCCCGGTGTCCTATGCAAGGGGAGCACTGGTGGAGAGGGAAACGGGGCCATTAGAGGCATCCTGGTCTGGATTCAAATCCCACCCCTGCCACTTACCAGCCACGCGGCCGTGGGTAAGTCACTTCACTTCATGGGGCCTCAGTTTCCTCACCTGAAAAACGGGCAGAATTCCTGTCTCTGGGAATGCTTCTAGGAATCCGCGCGTGTGCTCGCACGTGACCTTCTGGCACTTTGTTCTGCCACCTAGGGAAGCTGGGATCGCTGGCGGAGCCTCACGCGAGCTGGGCAAGCATTCCACCCCGGAGCTGGACCCCAGCCACTGCTGTCCTTCCTACTGTTCAAAGGCTTTCCCTCCTCTGCCCAGGGTAACACCCCTGTCCTCTGTGTCTGCTGAGGCTTACTCGCAGCACCTCCTCCAGGCAGCCTTCCTGGCTTGCTCTAGCCTGCTGGACCAGCCTCTATGGTCCAGTCGGTTCAGGCCTGCGGACTTAATTACATGCTGCCCTGACACAACTGCTGTCCTCCAGCATCAGGCTGTTATTTAACTTTGTGTCTCTATTTTAAAACGTAAACCAGATGACATTGCTCCTCTGCCTCAGATCTTACAACAGGATCCCACCTTACAGGGGGAAAAGAGCACACACAACAAACCCGCCACCCGGACCCACAGACGCCCGCAGAGTCACCCCTCTGACTCCATCCTCTGCCCAGGTAGGAGAATCACAAGTTCAAGGCCAACCTTAGCAACTTAATGTAGACTCCAGCTCAAAATCAAAAAACAAAAAGGGTGTGCAGGTGTGGCTCAGGGGTAGAGCACCCCTGGGTTCCATCCCACTGCCACCGAAAAAGCCACCTTCTTAGAGCACACCCCCAGCCCACAGCTACTCTCTATGATGCCACTCCTTCATGTTTTATTCATAGCACTTAAGCAAGACCTGAAGTGATCTCCTCTATGTTCTTGTTAACTTGTCTGTTGCCTGTTCTGCCTCCACTAGAGGGCCCCTCCCCGAAAGCAGGATTTTCGTGGTGCTCACCATAGGTATCCTTTGGAGCCAACCTCAGTGCCTAACACACAGTAGGTGTTCAATAAATACTTGTAAGGGCTGGGGATCTAGCTCCGAGGTACAGCACTTGCCTCGTATGTGCGAGGTTCTGGCTTCCATCCCAGCACTGCCAGAAAAGCCCCCCAAACCTTAGGATGAATGAACGTGTGTCTTATAGCCTCACCTAACTGCCTGGGCCCCACCCTCACGTGCCTGCTGTGAGCCAGGTAGTTCCCACAACACCAATTACCCATGAAGAGGAGCTTTTGGGCATCAAACAGGTTGAGCGAAATTCCAGCACACCCCCACCCTCTCTGGGAAGGCCCTGAAACTTAGCAACTAGACCACCCAGAAGCAAAGTGAGGGGGGCAGGAAGTAGGGAAGGGGTTCCCAGGAGCCCATGTGAGCTGGTGGGGGGGCACACCACACCCTGGCTCCCCCCTCCAGCAGAGTATTGCTTTGGAGAGGAGGAAGGCAGGAGGCCTCTGATTCATTCTTGAAAAACCGGCCCCTGAGTGGTTCCGGGGAAACCGCCCACTGCCCAGTCCTGGCGCAGGCTGCCCAGAGGCCAGGAGGCCTTGCATGCCCGGGACTCCAGCATCTTGGCTCCCTGCCCATTTCCTTGGACGCTGGTCTCTCTCAGGACCCCCAGGTACTCAGGCCTTTCCTTTGCAGCCCAGGGGAGAAGGGACACGAGCCAGCTTCTTGTTTGAGTGCTGGTGTCTGGAGAGCTCTGGGAGCTCTGGGTGGGCAGAAAGCGTAGACTAGCAGGTGTAGCCCAGATGTGAGTGTGGGGTGGGGCTGAGCTCAGGAGCTGGTCACGAACACCTAAGCCCTGGAGTCACTGGGCATCTGGTCTAGTGGACGAGACTCTAGTTCTGGACCCTAAGGCACGGTTGGGAGACCCAGATCTGCCACTTACTAGCTGTGTGACCTTGGGCACATCACTCCACCTCTCTGGGCATGAAACTGCACCTCTGAAAGAAGTTGAAAGCCCCTCCCATGAGGTGTTTGGATTCAGTGATCCGCAAGTAAATGGCTGACAAGGAAGTCTCAGTAACGCTGGCCAGGGTGAGTTTCATCATCATCATCACCATCATCACCCAGACCTCGGTCCTCGCCGCGTCCCCCCAGCTTTGGAACGGTATCCCGGGAAGAGTCAGAAATACCGACCCCCCGCCTGTCTACACCAGAACCAGACGATCCAGCTAAGCAAAGAATGGCAAGGGCACGGCGGGAGACCCCAGTCCAGCGGCGGGAGGCGCTGTCCCCTGCCACCAGCCGGAAGGGAGTTGTCCCGCTGCGAAGGGGTCTGGGGCATCCCCGCGCCCAGTTTCGACCTCCAGCTGCGTCCACGCAGCCGGCCCCGCCTCGCACGACCTGCTGGATCCTCGCGGGTCCGCGACCCCAGGGTCGGCGCTGCACCCACCCCCGACGGGGCGGCGGCACCTGGCGGGCGGGGGACACTCACCTGAGCGCGCCGTCGCCCTGCGCGTGCCTGGCTCGGCCCTCCGCAAACTCCGGCCCGGGCCTCTCCGGCGGCCGCGGCGAGGGGGCGGGGCCGGCGCCCAGAGGCAGCCAATCGGAGGCGCCTCCCTGCGTCCGCGGCCAATCCGCGCTGCCCCGCTTTGGGTGGACCCGACGGAAACATTCCAGGGGGATCCCTCCGCCTCTCCCGGCTCTTCCCGAACCCCCTGCGCGGCGGCGTAGTGGACCATCCCGCCCCGCCTAAGCCGCGGCGGGCTGTACTACTGCAGGGCTGCGGAGGGGGGAGCTGCGACTGGGCTCCGGCCAATCGCCGGGGAGAAAGGAGACAAGCGGCCAATAAAAAGCTGGGACCCCTGCACCGCGTGCTGTCGGCGGAGTGTTAGTCTGGGGAGCCCCTGGCGTTAAGGCGCGGGGGACTGGCCGTGGGAGTCAGGTGACCCAGGCCGAGTTTCGGGGAGAGGACCCAAACTCCAGAAAAGCAGACCCTCGAGGAGACCGGGGGAGGTGACAGCCCCCAACCCAGTTTCCCGCCCTGCTTTCTCTGCCCCAGCCCTGCCATCCTGCAAGCGAATGAAAAGATGCATTCATCCCCGGCGGGCGGACGATGGACAGAGAAGAATAGGGAGGGTCCCGAGTGTCCCTGCTTCTTGGGGTGTACAATGGACAAAGGCAGTCATTCATTCATTCATTCGTTCGGTCAGTCGTCAAATATTTAATGCGCCCCCTCCTCCGTGCCAGGCCGTGGTCTACCTCCACAGACAGATCAATGAACAGCTGAACGTGCTCCCAGTGGAGGGAACAGCCTGAGCAAAAAGGTGCAGGCCAGAGAGAGGACCACACTAGGAAAGGCCAAGAAAGGCAGAATGGAACAGAAGACAAAGCAAGTTTTCTTTTGGTTAGTTGAGCACCTACTATGTGATAGATCGAAGGCGTGAACCAACTAGCCCAGTTTCTGCTCTCAGGAAGTTGACCCCTCCATCTAACCGAATTCCCCGAGGGCCAAGGCTGAGTGTCCCTTGCCAACCACATCCCCCACCCCCACCCCACACGCTTCACCCTCCAGGCTGGCCCAGAGCAGGATCTCAACCACCCCGTGTGGATGGATGAGTCGGGTAGAGTTTATCAGCCCTCAGGTGGGCTCAGATCCAAGAAAGAAAGACACCAACTCACCTGGAGCCGGCGAGGACGCTCAGTTTCCAGGACAGATGAGGTTCCTCCGTTCTGGTTCCAAGGCGGCCACTGGAGCAGCAGTTTGCTGTGTGTTCAGGGAATCATATTGAATGACAGGGTCTTCGCAGTCACCAGGGGGAATTGCTGGGCATCCCAGCCTCACCACACCTGGAGAAGGGCGGAGAGAAACAGGGGCATGGGCCTTGGGCTTAGCTGTAAAGCCTCCTGGCTGGCCCCACCCAGCTAGCAAACAAGGATCTGCCATGGCCAGGGCGATGGGCACAGCCACTGTCCCTCCCTTCCTGTTCTGCTGACCTCTGCCACCCCTACTGGGTGAGAGTGGCCTTGGCTGGGCCTGTGCCCCATGCCCTGCTTGAGCCTGGCATCAGAATTGCCCCCCTGCACACCTGGAGAGGGCAGATGTGAGGCCTCAGGGACAAGCGAACCCAGGCTGTAGAGTCCTGAGCCCCATCTGCCTGCCTCCCGTTGGCTGATAAGGAAGTGCCCGGAGAAGAGGGTTATGGGATGGCCCGAGGGCAGCGAACAGGGCTGGGCATCTACCCGGGTTTACAGCTCAGGAGGCTTCCTGAAAACTGAGACTGGGGAGGAGCTCAAACTTGAGTGTCACCTCCATCCCTTTGGAGGAAAAAAAAAAAAATCCCATTCTGAAATGCCCCTGATACATGCAGAGACAAAGGTTGTTTTAGAAAAATCACCATTTGCAGCTTCCAGAGAAATCATTGATTCAACGAAAGACACATCAAGGATTAGCTCAGAGATTACATTTTTCTTTCTTTTTTTTTTTTAATTATTTATTTATTTTTCAGTTTTCGGCGGACACAACATCTTTGTTGGTATGTGGTGCTGAGGATAGAACCCGGGCCACACGCATGCCAGGCGAGCGCACTACCGCTTGAGCCACATCCCCAGCCCTAGAGATGACATTTTTCAATCAGGACTGGGAAAAGGGAACGTATACGGGTGTTTCTCTGACAAAGTTTCGACTTCCAATGTTTTGGGTTTCTGATGGTGTGAAAGCAATGCACGTTCAGTAGGAGCCACACACAGAACGGAGGAGAAACCTGTCAGTCACTGTTTTAACCAAGCCTTCCAGGCTAATTTAGGTACCTGAGCTAGGTGATCAAAGTGCCAGCCTCACATGCCCCCTGCTGTCATGCACTGAGAACCAAACATTGCCTTTGAAGTACATGGTTCCCCCAGAAGAGTTGACCTTGAATCTCTTTTTTAAAAAATTTTTTAGATGTTGATGGACCTTTATTTTGTTCATTTATTTGTATGTGGTGCTGAGAATCGAACCCAGTGCCTCACACATGCTAGGTAAGCGCTCTACCACTGGCCACCACTCCAGCCCCAACCTTGAATCTTAATCATGAGGAAACAATCAGATGCATCCAGATCCAGGGCCATTCTGCAAAGCCACTGGCCTGGACTCTTCAAACAGATCAAAGCTGTAGGCTGCATCAGCAACGGATTCACTATGTGAATGAATGACTGGACCAAAGCTGAGGCGACAGTCCTACATGGGAGGAAACAGAGAGGCATGATTGCCAGGCTCCCTTTCACGGGATCTTTAATGAAGGTTCCAAAGAAGATAAAACAGATATGAAGGATGTTCTCGGGACAACTGGGGAAATTTGAATCATAAGTGGCTGTTGGAGAATGGCATCGTACCCGTGTTATGTGTCCTGAGTGCCGTCATTGTCCTGTGTGAAATGCTCTCGTCCTCAGGAGGAGGATTCTTTGGGGTAAACTTGCGATGAGTGCATATGTCAGATGACTCAGAAAAAAAGTGTGTGTACAGAATGTCGTAGCTAATACACTATAGTATGTATATATGGTGGGGGTAAAGAGAAAGCAAATTTGGCAAAATATTAACCCTTGCTGGAACCAGGAGGGTGGTCTGTGGGTATTCATTTTCTTAATCTGTTTAAAAAAATATTTTTAGTCCTAGATGGACCCAATACCTTTATTTTATTGGTTTATTTTTACATGGCACTGAGGATTGAACCCAGTGCCTCACACATGCAAGGCAAGTGCTCTACCACTGAGCCACACCCACAGCCCCATTTTCTTATATTTTTAAGTTTGTGACAGGTTTGAAAATTGCAAAATAGGGGCTGGGGATGTGGCTCAAGCGGTAGCGCGTTCGTCTGGCATGCGTGCGGCCCGGGTTCGATCCTCAGCACCACATACAAACAAAGATGTTGTGTCCTCCGAAAACTAAAAAATAAATAAAATATTAAAAAAAAAAGAAAATTGCAAAATAACATGGGGGTGGGAAATACCTACATTTCTCTCCCATCCCAGAGGGGACCCTCTGGTGGGTTTGGTGTGTATCTTTCCAGTTGTGTGTTTCCTTGAAAATGTGCATTGTTTCAATGGTTGTTCTGTTATAATATTGGAATTATTTTTTCCTCACTCAGCACTGTATTGCTGTGCATTTTAGCATTGCGCCTTGATAATCCACCTATGTTGCTAGTTTCTGCAGTTCCATATTTTTTTTTTCTTTTTTGCAGTGCTGGGGATGGGACCCAGGGTCTCATGCACGCTAAACCTGTGCTATATCTATAAGCTTCACCTCCAGCCCTCTACTTTCCAAATACCTCTTAAATCCAGCTACTCTGGAGGCTGTGGCAGGAGGATTGCAAATTAGAGGCCAGCCTTGGCAACTTGGTGAGACCTTGTGTCAAAACAAAACAAAACAAAAATTAAAAGAAAAGACTGGGGAGGTAGCTCAGTGGTAAAGCATCCCTGGCTTCAGTCCTCAGTGGCAAAGACAAGCAACAAAACAAAACAAAACACCTCTTGAATCCTGCCCTGGGCTCTCCTCACAGCCCTCCTGGGTTCAATTCCATCACGTCCCGCCTGGGGCCTGGGCTCCTCCGCAGCCTGTTCCACCCACAGCAGCCAGAGGGCGCCTGTGAGCACCTGAATCAGATCGGGACCCTCCTCTGCTGAGGGTCCCCCAGCAAGCCTGCTGCCCTCCAAGAACAGAAAGGCTCTGTGAGCAGAAGGGTTTCTCCCGGAGTCAAGCTTCGCCGCACAGATGCCCGGCATCGCTTTCCCGGGGAAATTTGGGTCCCAAACCGCCCAGGTCCCGTCTCCACCTCCCAGGGAAAAGCCACCCCAGCCGTGTCCCCTCTGACTCAAACTCTCACAACCGGCTTCTCTTGGTCCTCAGGCACGCAGGGCCTGCCTCAGCAGGACCCTGACGCGGGCCTGTGTCATCTCTGGGCACACCCTGCCCTGCTCACTCTGTTTAAGGCTCCCCAGGTCTGAGGTGGGGGAGGGGGAGGGATCCTCATTGGGCCCCCATCTGCTTAGGAGGCCCATCCTTGACCCCTGGCCAACCCCTGTGACTCTCCCGTGGGCGCAGGGTCTATCAGGCTCCTAGCAGTCGGCATAGTGGGCTGAATGCTGCGTCTTCCCCACCAAAAGGTATGTCCCCATCCCAGGACCTGTGGGTGCCACATTCTTTGGAATAAGGCTGTGTGGGCAGGTGCGGTTCATTTCTGTATTTGTCTTTACAGCGTTGGGGATAGAACCCAGAGCCTCACTCATGCTGAGCGTGTGTTCTGCCACTGAGCTGCAGGCCGGCCTGGGAAGATGCAGTTTAGTGAAGAATCTTGAGACCGTCCAGGATTAGGCTGGGCCTGGAATCCAATGAAAGAAGCCTTTGTAGGAAACAGAGAGGGAGGAGCACAGAGACACACTGAGGGGAGGGCCGTGTGAAGATGTTGGCAGAGAGGTGTCTGCAGCAGCCACCAGCCATGGGATGCATGCCCCTGTAGAGTTCCCAGGAGGGTAAGTTTCCTGACACTTTGACTTTGCACTTCTGGACTCCAGAACACGAGGCAATAGATTTCCGGTTTCTAAACCACT